AAGAAGAGGACAAGTTGTTGGTTTTTTCCTGTGATATCTATGAATTGAAAAGTTAATGAAATAAATATGCTTGCAAGGTTATACCTGTTGATAGTGGTTTCTTGAAGTTAAAAATGTTTTGGTAAAGAACTTGATGAGTTTTTTAATTTGAGAAGTATTTCCTAATTAGGAAATTTGGTGATGGACGGGAAAGAGTTTTAAAATAATTTATTTTTGAAGATATCATTAAAAAACCCCATTTTAAAATAATAATATATAATAATAATTTTTTGATATCTTTTGTTTTAATTTAAAGATATTATTAAAAGGTTGATTTAAAAATAGAATTATAAAAAATTTTATATATAATTATTAAAAATATTTAGAAATATTTATATAAAAATTAAATTATTTTAAAAAATATTAATATATTGATTAAAACAATATTAAGTAAATTAATTATAAGATATTTAAGTAGATGTTTATAACTTTTTATAAATTTTCATTAATTATTTATTAAGTTATAAATAAAAATATAATTGTTATTTTTTTTGTATCATATTTGAAAAACAAGTAAAAAAAAAAGAAAAGTATTTTTATAAATAAAAAAGATTACTTTTTTAACCACTTTATAATATTATTAAATAATAATATCAAAATTTGTAATAAAATTTAATAGATTATAAAAATAATAAAAAAATTGTTATATATAGAAACAATTTATTAAAACAGATAAAAATATTTTATTTTATTTCAAAATAAATAATAATAATTAAATTATATATGAATATTTTTGTAAAAAAAACATTTTAAATATTAAGATTTATTATTAAAAAAAATAATTTCAATAGAATAATAATTTAAACCCAATAAAAAACTTTTAAACATAATAAAACAAATATTTAAAAAAATATATAATATAATTCAAATAAAAATAAAATTATTTTTAATAGAAAAATAATTTAAAATACTGTACAATTAAATTCATACAAATCAGATATAAACCAATAATAAAGGATAATAATAATTACTGTATATTAATTACAAAAAAAAATTTTTTTTAAAAAAATAAATCATAAGATTATATCTTTAAACGAATAGTTATTTGTAATAATTGATTTGATACTTACAACATAAAATCAATCAATAAAATAATTTTCAAAATAATTTTAATTTATTTAAGATATTAGTTAATACAGTTTTAAAGATTGTTAGATACAATCATATTTTATTCTAAAATTGAATAATTGTATATTGATTTTAAATAATATACGAATTTATTTTTTAAATGATTTTCACGAGTTCCAATTTATTTTTAAAAATTTGATACTGTATTTGTCAGAAAAAAGATATTTTAAAAATTCAAAAGAACAAGTAATTTACCATAAGTCAAGAAGGCTTATTTATTCACCTTTTTTTAAAATGATTTACTGTTAATAGTTTTTAGATTTTTATGCTTGATTTGTAAACTTGGCTGTGAATCAACGCAATGCATATGCACTTACACGTACTGTATATACTGTAGATGGATTTATTCGTTTAACTCGAAATCGAACGAAATTACCATGGCATTCTTGTGTGTAAAATAATATACAAAGTTGGATGACTCAAAACGTAAAAAGATTATTTAAATATTGCGAGCGTTTCACCGTTAAAAATATATTTTTTTCTTATTTACATGAAAGTTACTTGCCACGAGAAATTGCGAAAGAACGTATGTAAAAATGATTTGAACGAATACAGTATACAGTAATCACATACGCATACGTATTTATTAATGGATATATATGGCTAGGAGCAAAGTTCACACATTACGCCAGAATCAATCGTCTTTTCTTGTTTGCAACTTATTGAAGCACTCGGGGGTTTCGTCAAGAATTTCTTTTGGTAGATCGGTAAATACATGATAATTGATAAAATCACAATTGCATACTTTACTAGTATGTAATGATGTGTGATATACAATAAATCTTGCAAATCAAGGATCAAAGTCATTTCTTGGCGTGCGTATTTTGGTTCTTGGCATTCCAATGAGATTTTTTGAGTTCATTGATGAACGAATTGTTTCATTTTAACAAACAAAAAGTGTTCTTGGCAGTAACTTAAATAGATAAGCAATACCATAATAGGAATAGCACCCGTGGGAGGGGTTGTTCTTGGCAAACAGCTATTTTTTTGTTATTATCAACGAACTTCATCAATCTGATTCAGGATGACCATCCATGTACAGTACTTGGAAATTGGCTATAGTAATTCGATGCTTTTGCGCGCACGATAAGGTATTCCAAAGGAAATTTGAAACCTTGATTTCATCAAATGCCTGACGAGTTTAGTCGGTTTCTAACTTTTTTTTTCCTAATCGAAAACCAATGTGATACATCTCTTACAACGAATGACGTAGCAAGAACTTCAGAGTCAGTTGATTTCCACGACCAGTTGACCCAAAGAAACGCATATTTTTTATTAGATAGATTATAGAAAAATCAATTTACAAAATTATAATTTTTATTTTACAAGAGGTAAAAAAGAATATCGAAGAGTGGCATAGATATGAGATTGCAGCATAAGGTTTGTATGGATAAATATTTGCATAGATCTTTTTTGTGCTCTCAATTCATATTAGGAAAAGTGACATAATGATTATGCATGATCTCGAGACTCTCGATTGTCTTTGTGATGCCATAGTTTTGGAAGGTGAAAATGAAACACCGAAAGGTGAAGGAATCACAGTGCGGGATGAGACAGCTCGTGATCATCAAGTACGCCGGCATCAATTAACAATTTTTCTAATCTCCCATCTTTATGCATAATTGATAATTCCTCGCTATCGCCAATAGGGACGCTATCCACAAATATACTCGGAAGCGTGTTTAGGTATGTGAATCTCGTTAATGCTTCTTTCACCTCTTCTTCCTCATCTTTTTATTTGTTGAGAAAATGAGTTTAGAAGATGAGCGGGGGGGATTAGGTAAAGCGCAAGCAAGAAAATACACTTGCCTCTTTTGTCAATTTCAATTATTAAGGGAATCGGAAAAATGTCGTATTGTGATAATACGTCTTTTGCACTTTGCGATTCCCTTTATAAGCAGAACAAGAAAATCATGATTATTACAAGAATCATCATCACTAATTGTTAGCATCAGGATCATTACTTACGGACAATCGGTTTTGGTAAAGATGACCACCGGATTCTCGTGAATCAAATAATAAATTTCATATTCAATAGTGGACAGAGGGTCAAGATCAACAAAGTCATTTTCGTCCTTCATTTCTTCGTCAATTTTTGTAAATAAGGTAGAACCATCGGTGCTCTTTTTCTGAGAATCTGGCATTTCCAATTCACGTGAATCATCGTAAAAACCATCTTCGTCATCATAATCGAAATCATCATCATAGCGTACACCATGTTTGCGTCTATTAGGCCACATGTATCCATGCACTTCCAATCCATAAATCCCTTCTTCGCCACATTCACCCATAACACTTGCTGCCGCAATGGCCGCCCCGTTGTGCCTGAAACGTCGTAGAGTGTTAATGTTAAATGCCGTACCACCGAATCTTGCCACAATCCATAAGGAGCACAGAAATAGTCCAAGTGTCGCACTCAATATTCTAAACTTTCTTGTTTTTATAAAATGGTCGCTAAATTGTATAAAAGAGTTGTGCGCCCGACGAAAAGATGTACGATATGTCGGCAAGAGTGACTCCTTGGACATTTTCAAGCTAGATAAGGGATTTAGATTTGATATGTGAATGGCGGTAGACGAGTCTTGGGAAGAAAATTGTTGAGAACGGGAGAGTGTGAAATGTCTAGAGAATCGATCAGCGGACAATTTATTTAAAAAGGGGGGTCGGAAAGTGAAAAAAGACCGGCGTGATTATTCCGAAATTCTTAACCTTTGATTTATAGTTTACATAAGTAGTTTAGGTTATAATTGATGCAGTGTTAATGTAAGCCCGGTTTTTTTGTTGTTTTTTTTTTTTTTATTTGGTCTATTTTATTTGATTTTATTGTTTTAACTTGTCTTTCCTTTACCAATATCGTCAACCCCTCAAAAAAATTCTAAAGATGACAGGGAAAGAAAAAGAGCCCTAAATCCTATCCATCCATCTAAAATCATGTCTTTTAAGCTTTTTTCTCAACGACGGATTACACATGTACATCGCAGGTAACAAAATGAGCGATGTGAGAGTACAATATAGTGGGGCACTATCTTTTTACGGGAAGATTTCTAATTTAATATAAACAAAATGCAGAATGTTATTTGTGAGTATTTGAATCTGTACGATTAGACATAAGCATGTATTGTTGAACCAAAAGACGCTTTCTTGTTGTACAATACAAGTGAATGAATTTATTTATATTTTTAAAGGAGATTTTCGTAAGTTCATCCGAATCAACACAAATTCAAACACAGTAATGTATTTACTATCGAGAATTCAGTTCGTATGCGAAACTGATTATCGGGTAACACCACACCTCTTACGAGGCTATCCATAGCCAGTTACTGTAGTTGGAAAGATCAAAGTCTAAAGCGTGATGGTAGAAGGAATGACCGGTTTCGTAAACAAACAATTGGTATGAATTTTTTTTTTTTGCATAATGTTTTCTTGGTTAAAGAATTTTATTTTTGGTCACACATGCAAGAAATGTTGTGTGCTACAATCCTTTGTTCATAAAAAGTAAGTACATACCGAAATTGGTTTAACGTAGAAAATGCTGTAGAGGTTTACGTACTTGAAGACGATCAATCGACATGAAAAGGTAATAGCGATTTCGATGTTGAGAACGCAGATAGAACAAGAAATCGAAGAGATTCTACGTTGAACCCGAAACAAGTTTCACGGTTATTTTCGGCGAAAATTTAGGTTCAAACGTGATAGGTGATAGGTGATAGGTAGTCACCCTTAAGATTAATCATCGTATTGTCAATAAACGGTGAATCGCAAAAATATTATCTTAAATTAGGTGAAATTAATTTTTTGCTGCAGTATCGGACTGGTGTCTCCGATAATTTGTTGGTGTCAGCTGCTCAATAAGCCCAGGTCGACGTTTCGAATTCGTATAGATCACGTGATAAGACTGAGATTTTGATTCGACATAAGATATCGAATTTTTAATTGTTGTTGTATTCACCACGGGGGCTTGGTTTCTTTATGTTGTGCTGTGTATAAACCATAACCGGAAGTTCACGTGATATTAGGGCATAAACAAACAAATCGCAATATGCAAACATTAAAACGAGGCATTACAAAACGGCTGCGACACAATTTTGTTAAGATGTTTGAGTGGCTTTATTTCTCGTAGTTTCCAATGATAATCACCGCGAGGCTTCTACACCTATTTCAATGGCTAAGACAACTTAAGATCCATTATGTTCGCAGCCTTCACTCTGCAAGATGCTTTGTTTATTTTGGATTTTTGAGTGTAATATCTTGCACTGCAAAATTCATTTTTACGTCATGCTTCATAGCGCATATTTTCAGAAAATTGTGCATTGCTTGCACGCAATCATTTCCCTTTATTTAACAGTTACATTTTACCTCACAAACAAAAGAATCGTGATCTAACTGATGATTATAATCGAAATTATCTTAAGATCAAATATTTTAGTATAATGTAAACATTTTGCCAAAATTGATGCACTTACAATGCATGATAATGCTTTTTCTCTGAAAATGAATGAATGAAAACATGCAGGTAACTCATTCGACATTTCAAGTTTAACTATATAAACTAAGTTGATAAGGACCGAATTACTATTCATAGCACGAAATAACAAACTCCGTATACAGAAGTCACCAAGGTGAATTAGAGGGATCTTGTACTGTAGTATACCGGCAAGAAAATCACAAACACGTGATTTATTCTATCCATAAATGCCACTTTTTTTCGCTCCTCCTTTTACCACCCTTGAAATTGAATCCAACATGAATAAATAAATAAGGCTAGTCTTTATCATGCATGTCGTATCCCATACCAAAGTCACAATATTCAAGCAAGATATTCCTGACACCATTCACGTCCCCGGTCCATCTCCACCTCGCACGAATCACAATTAACTGTTTTTGATCTGAGATCATTTTTTACAATCACAATTTCCATACGTCTGATGTATACTCTTCGGTGCGTTCAACGACCCTCTCGACTTGTGATGTAAATGTGACCGAGTTAGCATTGCATGAGCAGTCTTTGACCGAATCTTTCGTTTACGTTTATTCTTCAAAACCATTCTCGAAGGCTCGAAATTGGGTAAAAGAATGATCTCGTAATTCTAACATAACCAGATAACACTATTCGATTAAACTATGTATTCGTTATATTATTCGTAGCATAATTTTCTCAATCAAAATCTCCTTCTTTTGTTTGTTCTTCCCAAAGCAGGATCTGTGTCGCTCTGTAATTTTTCATAATCTAAATATTTTATTAAAATCACTGTTACCTCACTCGATTAATTCATAATCGGTTATAAACGTGAGATTACCTTTTTCCGAACATCGATGATATCCAAAGAAACAGTAACATACAAGTAAAAATGTATCATGTTATTAATATTTGGTGATCATTCTGAAGTGATAGAAACGCATATTTCCCTTTGTTCCTATTCCAATCCCTAGCAAGAATGGGATGGTTCGTGTTCAATTCTTCTTGATCGGTATTTCATTTGAAAATTATTTCCATATAACTTCTCGTTTGTCTTTATGTGACTATCGATTGTCGAATCGCGTACGAACAACATATTCATCGTTCAGGTAGTGCTTTCGTATGACACTCATGTTGGTGATTCCATCGTCCTGCATCACCTTAGGAACCTTGTTATACATCCATCTCACAGTTCCCATCCACTTTCTTAGCTTTTCTCTTTCTTCGGACATTGGGTAAATCCTTATCTTTCGTCCTGCCGTGAGATAGCAACAATGGATAATAAGTTCTCAATAAGCTCACCAAATTCTGTTGACATCCAAACCGGTACCACGATCTTCCATTCGACAAGTTAACCATAACCTTTTCGATATATCCTCGGTACGATCGTTCCAAAATGGATGTGAAGCATTTGCGTTTCCAGTTGAGACTTGATGAGTTCATGATCTGGATAAGTATTGGCATTACCTGACAAGGTCCTCTTTTTGTTTCTCTGAGCTAACCCTTGCACAATGGCTACCTCTCTTTTTATTTATCATTTCTTGAAAAAATTTCCTGGGTTCTTCTGATCTCTTGTGCTTCACGATACTTTGTTGTTGACATTATCTTTTCAAACATACAAAATGGGACTTCTTATACTCTATAAAGAATATTGAAATGGTGCGATAGGACATCAATGATCAAGTAATTACTATCATTAAAATAACAATCAGTAAAATAAATAACAAAATAATGGAATATACAGTATCTTATTACCTACATACCATAAAGTTGCTTCCAGTATTATATTCCACGGATTTCGATTACATCCTAACTTTTTTAAGGGTTGGCTAATTGAGACTTACCATCTTTAGTCCAAAAGAAATTGTTACACGGATTTTCAAAAGTTGTTGTCGCATACCTGATACTCGATTTATGAGTTACAGTATACAGTATACTATGAATGATAATAACAAAAATATTTGTATAAATTGTATATCACCAATCGTATGATGCTTTAAAAGTATTTCTTGGGAACTTGTAAAAACAACGACCTACGGCATAAACAAGTAATATTTACGCCAAAAATTTTCTTATTTACAGTTGTTTAACCAACCAGAGCACATGCTAATAGTAGCAACTTTATTATTTATAATTCAAATTATTAGAATTATGGTAATTGAAAATAAACAAATTTTTCGTGAAAATCGATAACATACTGTATAATAATAGGCAGTACGGTATTTGTAAAAAAAAAACAAAATGCAAATACAAATACAAATAAAAAGATATATCCATATCCATTTTCTATTAAAAATTCTCACAATCGAGAAAAATTATTTTTTTCTTTTCAAAAAAATGTATCTGCATTCATAAATCTTTTTTATATTTTTGTGAGATTAAAAAACATGTCTGAAGATAGTAATAGAAATAAATAGAAAATAAAGTTTCAATCCGATTTTTTACGCTCAAGAAATAAACTTATCTTCTTATTTAATAAACGATCTAATTGAAAAACAAAATTAAGTTTGTAAAATTTACAAAAAAATTATATTTTTCATATCATACAAATGGTAAAATATGAATTTTAAATCACTAGTATTATTTTTTTTTTTTAAAAAAACAAATATAATCTTTTCATTTATAAATATTATTGTATTTCTATATTTTAAAAATCTATTTATTAAAAATCTATTTGAATTTATAATTATTATTATAAATGTAAATGTAATAATAAAAATAACCAACAAATTATAATCATAAAATAATTAATTATATCAATGTATTAATTTATGCAAATTTTTCTTTTTAAAAAAATTTTATATTAATATTATTTTTAACAATAAAAAAAAATATTTTTTTTAATTTTAAAATACGTAATTGTATTATAAAATTAATATGTTTTTTATTATTTTATTGTTATTGTTTTATTACAAATATATATAAAACTTTATTAAATAAAATTTATTGATATTTTATTGATAATTTTTTGATATATAAATTAGTTATAACCTATTTTATTTACAATGTATTAATATTATTAATTCACATTTAAAAAAAAGGTCTATAAAACTAGTAACAAATAATTAATGC